TACAGTAAACACTAAACATTTACCAATTAATTTTCAAATTAAAGCTTGAATAATAAGTTTAAGAATACAAAATAGGTATTCATTAATAAAAATCATGTTAGTCAAGGACTAGAAGATTGGTTTTATTTTTTTTGGACACTGTTTGATTCATAAAAATATTTATTAATCAATTGTTAAGCAAAATAATTTTCAACTAACCTTCAGAGCTGTACTGTAAGTAATCATTCAAAATTTGATGTACAGTGGAATCTTTAGTTTTTTTACTTTTARTCAATGTTAGGTCAATAATCTTCTTTCTATATATTGGTAAGTTCTGATACAGTTTATCGACAGATTTTGGATACGCAACGGTAAAGTCTTTTAAAATCTAAAGAATAAATAATAAGATCTTAATAATCAAATGAGTAATCAGATACAAATTACAAATTATTAATAATATCATATKCACTTACAAGGAGATATCCTGCAGGTTTTTTCAAACATGGAAACTCAGTCATGTACTCTGCAATCGAAGGACCGTCTTGTGACATCAGTCTTTTTAAGCGAAAGCTGGATGTCAAATTCCAATTTATTTCTACTAAATCCCATGGGTCACTAGAGTTTCTTARCCAATTGAGATTTTCCTCCACAACAGATTGAATGTAATTTCCTTCTTCTTCAGTCGATTGTATAAGTCCTTCCGGTAATGGAATAGAACTAAAAGATGATTCAGAAGATGTTGAGCTTCGTCTCGATGAATTAATCAAACCAGATTTTCTATATTCCCTTCTCCTATTATTTAAACAGTCGAGAAGCTTTCCTTTGGCTGCTCTTTTTAAGCCCGGTCCGTAAGAAATGTATGGAATAAAATAAGTTGATGGTCGTTCATTTTTAAAAACTTTTGTGATTTGGTATGCAAGGTTATGTAAACGTGATGATGGAATACGTCTTTGAACATCATCTCTGAGTTCTCTATTYATTATTAAGTGACACAAAYGCCTACGACCTGTACTATCTAACAAACCACTTTGATGAAATGTAGCCAATAACGATTTTYCTTCATTTGTAGTTCTAAGTAGTTCCAATACTTCCTGCAATAGTAAAATTATTTATTATTTGAATACATTTTCATTAAAACTTTCTAATAAAAAAATTGTTATTAAAAAATTCAACAAAATTGTTAAGCATAACACTAATAACAATTTTATTCTTACATTAATACTAATAAAGACTACCTAATAGGTATATAATAATTAGACTAATAAAATCAATACTGTTTCTGAAACTGTTTGTATGAGTTCTGATCTAAGTCAAGATAAAAATATTTGTATAAATTACCTAAATTATATATTATTTGTTGAGTAGGTACTTGAGTTCATAGTCTTACATTTAATGTATACAATCCCTACAACCCTACATATTGTGACAAAAACATTTCATTGGCAATATATGCAGATATTAAGGACTTTAATAGGTAGGTACTAATATTGAATTATAATAGAAAAATGTTTAGAAATATAAAAAAATAATCTTATGAAATA